TTGTTTATGTTAATTTTTCTTTTGTCATATGTAAATTCGATATATGTTTTGTAGATTATTCGACATACTCTCCATAAGCCATCGCTGAAGGAAACATGTTCTCTCGATGAGGAAGTACCATCTACTAGTGATGGAGCTGAGCATATTTTAGGATGTAATGATCTGCATTTTTTCCTTAGTGGAACAGCAAAGACAGCAGTTACAAGACCTAACAGATGATGCAGATCAAATATTAAATAGCTCTGGGAATAAAAGTACTCGCAAATGTACTAAATGCAAAGCTCCAATGAAAGGACATCCTCGAGGTCAATGCTTCACTGAAAAAGAATAAATTGAAGTTGGTAGATGATAGGGCAGTGGTCAGACATTGCTTGGAGCCTGTCTGGAATGGAGAAGTAAGGCACCTCCTTCCCACCACCAGCCTGAGGGTTCACCTTAGGCAAGTGATAGTACCCTCTAGCCTCCCTATCTGGGCACTGATATACACACCTTTCCTGATGATTACAGTATTAATATAACATTGAATGGTATGTATACTTGTCAGATTGAAGATGACTATCTCACTCAATTGTGCAACTAATTAATTTTCATGAATAATTTTTTTTATTGTAGTTTAATGCTCAACATGCCCTTTGTGGATGCAGTGCACTCAAGTGTGAAGACCTTATAAGATAAGTTCATGTGGCTTGCTATTTTCCATTTTTACATTTATGCTATGATTTAATTGCATATAATTTTTCTTTTTTTTTCCCAGACTGACATTGAAGAAAAGATTTTCTTTACCGTATAGTGCATCCATATATCTCCTATTTGGTTTTCATCTAGGCATATTCCTGACCATTCTAAACTCAGCAAAGAAGGCCAACAGTCTCTACAGTGCACAAGTTAAAAGACCTTTCCATCATCGCCCCTCTGATGGTATGTAACCTTTTGTGTTACCACTTGGATATGCTTTCCGAATAAAGTGGTAAACACAAGCAGGTAAAGGCCGAGTATTCTCCCATCCCATAGACCCACAAAACCATCGCATCAACCATCTGTATGCCACAGCTCTCAAGTACCTGAAGTAAATAAAAAGGTTGGACTAATTATTGTTGATGAAACAATGTTGATGATAACATTCTTTCTCATACAATTTACAATCTTACATATTTAATGATTGTGATGCTTGGCGGCGATAAGCACGTCCATTCCTATCTCTCAATAGTGGCCCGACGTTTTCAAGGACAGCCTCATGAACTAAAGGCCCAAATTTGGCATGCTGTGTTATGCATGATATTTTCTCAATGCTGCCATCGAATGTCATTTTCTGCAAAGCTGGTCCTATTTCCTTACAGCATCTGTACTCTAATGCGCCTTCTAACAAATCGGTATGACAGCATTGACAATTACACCTGAAACGTGGGAGCATTGTGGTTTATAAAGTAACTTTATGTATATTACAAACAGGAGAAAACAACAACTTACCATTCACTGAGTGGAATTACGCCATCACTTCGTTGTTCTAAGGTCGCAGGAGAATTCCATCGGGATCATCTGGAGTATGCACTTCATCACCATCTCCTGCGAGCGGTTCATCGTCATATGCGAAGTCGTTTAAATGCTCGACATAACCCACGGATTCCGAGCTCGAATCAGATACGCATTCAGACATCGAATTCGAATTATCTGAGCACTGATTTGAAGCCATACTTTCCGGACAACTTGTTTTTTAATATTTTATTGAAAATACTGTCATTATTTGTTTTTAACACAAGAAAAACGACAACAAAATCACCTTCTATAATATAATATTATATTGACGGAAACAGACGTTTTCAACTAACTACGTCACAAGTATCAATATGGCGTCGTAAAAAATTCGGAGGCAAAATTAAGGAACTTATATTTATCTGTTTAAGTCCAGCGACATGTCATAGTTCTTCAAATAATCCAAATTTTCACTTAAGCTAATAAAAAAGGGGGGCTAAAATTCGTGATATAACCCCTTTAAGTGGCATACTGGTGAACAGTGATTTCACATCAAAAAACACTAGTATATACAGTACCGACCTCTAGTAACATGACATGACTCGCGAGTATCGAGTGGCGAGTGGGCGAGTGACTCGCGAGTCAATTGCGAGTGACTCGCGAGTGACGAGTGGCGAGTGGGCGAGTGACTCGCGAGTCAATTGCGAGTCATTCTCGAGTGTGTGAAGTTTGCGAGTGAATAAGTGACTCGCTGTTTGCGAGTGAATAAAATAACTCGCAAAAATTTCCGACAACGACTCTTCATTTGAAGCAATATCTCGGTACCTAATGACGTTAAAATCTTTTGAATTTTTTTACAAAAGCATTTTAATAACTTCACATTTCTCATGGCACCAACGTTATACGTAAAGCGGTAGAGACCATAGAGAAATTACTGAGAAAATCAAAGTAACTCTCAAAGATTTTCTTCTAACAGTCTTAGATTGTTGACATATATTATCTTAAGATAGAATACATTCAAAAACGAATATTGTTTGAGGTCAAATATTTAAGGAGTGTAGCTATGAGATGAGTGTGCGTATAATCTTTTAAATTTGGTTCCGAAAGAACTTCATTGACTTCACGTTTTTGATGTGTTACACAGACGATATTGATAAAGGCCATAGACATTTAATAGCAATCAATGAAATAAAACCACGTGTATAGTTAATGGCTAGATGATAGCTTTTGCGATTCACTTACCAGTAGAAATGTTTAAAAATGAGATTAGTTTCTGAAACAATTTTATTGACTTCACAGCACTATACACATTTAATTAATAGCAAGCAACGATAAGCTTCAAAATTTAATAAATATGGCTAATTTATGACTGTACCAAATTTCAGAACCAAATTTAAAAGATTATACGCACACTAATCTCATAGCAACATTCCTTAAATATTTGACCTCAAACAATATTCGTTTTTGAATGTATTCTATCTTAAGATAATATATGTCAACAATCTAAGACTGTTAGAAGAAAATCTGTGAGAGTTACTTTGATTTTCTCACTAATTTCTCTATGGTCTCTACCGCTTTACGTATAACGTTGGTGCCATGAGAAATGTGAAGTTATTAAAATGCTTTTGTAAAAAATTCAAAAGATTTTAACGTCATTAGGTACCGAGATATTGCTTCAAATGAATAGTCGTTGTCGAAAATTTTTGCGAGTTATTTTATTCACTCGCAAACAGCGAGTCACTTATTCACTCGCAAACTTCTCACACTCGAGAGTGACTCGCAATTGACTCGCGAGTCACTCGCCCACTCGCCACTCGTCACTCGCGAGTCACTCGCAATTGACTCGCGAGTCACTCGCCCACTCGCCACTCGATACTCTCGAGTCATGTCATGTTACTCGAGGTCGGTGCTGTAGTTGTCCTGTATTTGTATAGTGCACAGTTTTTTAATGAAAGTCTCAGTAGATTGTAGCTTGTGTTTTGATTTGCATGTAAGTGGTTGCGGTATGTCCGTCAAGTACTTTGAGAGTTCGTAAGTAGGCGAACCACAGAATGACACAATTGGTCGAATGGGCATTTGTGGTTTGTGAAGTTTTGGTAGTCCGTATAGTCTGGGTGGTTGTGGTACTGAACATCTGAGTCGATAGTAAATACGTTCAGATATAATGTTAGATTTTCTCATAGAGAAGATCTTGCCGTTAAGTTTGCGTACTAGTGATGATGTTGGGTCTCGTTTGAATCGTTCGTACTTGTTTGAATAGTTCGATGGCCTGAGTTGGCATCTTGTTCAATCTTAGATTATTACATAGATATTGTAAAAAACTAAATGGTTTGAACCCGGAGTATCGTTACATGTTTGTAAATGTAGATCGTCCAGGTTGGTATAGTCTTGAGAAAGACTGTTTTGTTCTTGTTGACTGACGTTTCGACAACCTTAGCGGTAGTCATCTTCAGAGTCATTTGACGAGAAAATATTGAAATGTAACCCGCAACACAAGGCCCCCGATAAATTTAAGGCGGTAGAAATTAAAAATACTGAAATGCTTTTACCTTTCATGACAACAAAAAACAAAGATAAATGAGTTCCCTTTCCAAAACCATCACCATTCATATAGATCTTAGCACACATCTTGTAACCATATTGCGAACTGTAGAATGGTGCACTGTACAAGGCTGTTTTTATACCATTAATGGCGTCCTGTCTTTTTCTATTGTAGTTATCTATTTTCCACAGTAACGTACCATTGTAGCTGTGTATGGCTTGATTCGACCCCAGTGCACGCGAGCCACGTTGCGCTTCAAGGTCGGTAATCTTCACCGTGTTTCTCGCGAGTGATTCATCAATTTGATCTAAGCGCTCACGATATCGTAGTAAAGTTGAGGAATTTTCTCTCACTTGTCGTTCGAGAGTTGGAATTTTATCACGCATCGAAGAAACTTCTAATGACGAGTTGGCATTATTACTATCATTATCACCACGAGCCTCGAGATTCTCAATTCTCCTTTCCAGACCTGTAAGTTTACCCACTAACATAACAAATTTCTCTGAAAGATTCGCACGAACAGCAGTAACTTGATCAGCCATGTTTTGAACAGCAGTAGTAAACTCTGGACGTGGTACATAGTTACTTAACTGTGTAACAAATGCCATAACATATCGTAACAGGAGGCTCACATGATCAATTAAATTGTCATTCATATGTTGACGGATCTCCCTTCGTTTTATCGTCTGTGGAAAGAAAGACAAAGATAATACCAACATATTCCTGACAAAAAATTACAAATTAGCCACAATAAATCGTTGTTTCAAAACAAATATAATTAAATATAAATATTTAAACATAATTAAATCTAATAAAATTATAACAACCAATAATAAAATGATTAAATCAAGTATGCTAACTTGTAATTCAACAGTACAAATATAGAATCATGTCAAAGGTTTTTGATGAAAATTTTGTTTAGAAACAGTTTCAAATTTGAATATTTCATTGATAACATGAGATAATAAATCACTTTATATTCTCTTACTTTATCATAGTTACATCCAATAGCTTGAAATTCACATTTAGTCGGCACTTCATCACAGGTTGTACTTTGATGTTGTTCAATATCTTTCCTTGGTATCTTTTTCTTACAATATTTACAAACCACAGGATAATATTCACACACATTTTCTTCGTGATCCTGCATGTTAAATAAAGTAAACAAAAACTTAGAAAGTAAAATCCGGTATAATGTCTTGAAATATAGAAAGATGGTTGGTAACAAATGATAGACAAAAATATAATGACGTTTAAAGTCATACAATTTTATAAATATTGAAACAGGAGGAAAGCGCTCATTTATTTTACTCCTGTATTTTTGTACAAAAAGTCCAACAATATGACCCAACGGGTATAAACACATCGTGATGAACACAGATTAGCACTTTTGGCTATATCTCCATTCTGTTTTCCTTTAATCCGCCTGAGAATATTCTGCATACCTTAAGTGAAGCATACGGGACATCTTTACCACAATATTCACATTTTACATTTCGATATTCACATTCATTCTTCAAATGTTCGCCAAGGAGAGAGCGAGGTAACTGAATGTTACACTGCTTATGTACGCAGCTGATGAGCGCATGCTCACAAACTTGATAATGACCCTGACAAAAAAGAAACTTAATAAGTAAAAATACCAAACTTTTTTAATAAATTTATCAACTCAACTCACTTCCAATTCTTCGTAGGAGCCAAACCATTTGCATTGTTCAGAAGGACAATGTAAACGAATACTTTTCAACTCACGTTTCGTAAAAGCATCAGGGAAAACCTGTATATAAGTTTCATAAAAGTACAAAGATTGGTGTAATAATTGCATATTGGTAGATGAAGATGTTGAGAAAGGAAGCTCTTTGTACAGGAGTTTCTTAATAAGCAATTGATACAGCTGTATGGAAGTTTCCTTTTAAAACTTTAGAATATTTTCACTTACATCATTTCGGCTCAATTTTTCTTGATCTTCAGGACATTTTGGATCAGGATCTCTACAGATTAAAAGAACATGAAAACAAGTAAAAAAAAAAACGTTAAATGTAAAACAGAGATCATGTTTAGAAACCTAACAGACAATATTCGTTGTATGATGAACTTAAAATTAGAATATTAAAATCTTTTTGGGAGGTTCTAATCATCATGTTTAAATGAAGTATAGCACGCAAAAATGAGCGCTGCTGACATCATCGATGTCAGAGTTTCGGGATACGTCGTGTATAGATGAAATGTAAGATACCACATAGAGATGAAAAATCACGACGCCTAGATAAGAGAAACTACATAGGGGCATGTAAATCCACATCAGCTCATAATGTGGTTGTAACACACGATACAACATTGGATGAGATACAACATTGCAAATAATCCATTTAATCGAAAACTTTAAACCACCTTTTCAGTTGACAGTTTTGATAGAAAATTATCTTACCCAAGTATAATGTTAATACAAGATAGACAAAACAAATGTCCACAGATTGTCTGCATTGGATTGACAAGGAGGAGATGACAGCGAGTACAAATATACTTCGCGTTGATTTTTTCTCGATCTTCATCACGTATTTTGATTCCAGGCATCTTGGATGAAGTTAAATCGTCTTACACTGCAGAAAAGAGAGTACTCCATGTTATTGTTTGCTACTATATGTATAATAAAATAGAGACTTTGTCGTACTTTTCTATTAGCAGACGTTGACACTTGTGGAGTAGTCTGCCGAAATGCATTGTGTGGTTTAGTTTCATAACAGTTTTTTTTAAAACTATTGGGTTAGTGTTCTGTGCTTAAAACAGTTCTTTTAAGAACTATTAACTTATTACTTTTGCCGTTCACCATGGTATTTACGATCTTTAAAACGATTTACTATCAGTGTCCAATTGCATTTAACACGCAATGCCATTTTAGAGCGCAAGCAATTTTTAAGATGTGTCATTCTAGAGATTCAACACAGAAAATTGACATTGCACAACCAAACTTGCAGGCTGGCTTCGCCACTGCATGCACGACGCATCGAGCAGATGTGAAAGCGTCGACATTCGCTCTCGATTGATCTGCCTGTCAAGTTTTCTCAAAAATGTCCTCCAATTGCACAAGCCAGTGCAAATATGAGACATATCTTTTATTACTGAAGTGTAACTGTCTTCGTAATACTTTATTTTAGAGTCGGATAAAGTAAACCGGATGTTCAGCTCCTCAAAAGTCGAGTATTACAATTAGCATGTCAATATTCAGAGTTAAATTTGCGAGCAAGTTAGTGCACCTCACGTTACAGTAAGTATTAGCCAAAATTTAACAAAATTTTATAAGGTCAAAAATCACACGACAATTCGATACACAACTGATTTGTCAGCATATAAGCAATTATATAATTTACAAAGCAGGACAACATTCGCGGGAAGACTTCTCGTGTGACTTCCTAGGTAATTTATGTAATTAATGTAGTACCTTTCGGACTTCTATCAGTCACTTTGCTTGACGTTGCCGTGTATCGTATGTAGTACCTTTCGGACTTCTATCATTCACTTTGCTTGACGTTGCCGTGTATCGTATGTAGTACCTTTCGGACTTCTATCATTCACTTTGCTTGACGTTGCCGTGTATCGTATGTAGTACCTTTCGGACTTCTATCATTCACTTTGCTTGACGTTGACGTATATCGTATGTAGTACCTTTAGACTTCTATCATTCACTTTGCTTGACGTTGCCGTGTATCGTATGTAGTACCTTTCGGACTTCTATCATTCACTTTGCTTGACGTTGCCGTGTATCGTATGTAGTACCTTTCGGACTTCTATCATTCACTTTGCTTGACGTTGACGTATATCGTATGTAGTACCTTTTGGACTTCTATCATTCACTTTGCTTGACGTTGCCGTGTATCGTATGTAGTACCTTTCGGACTTCTATCATTCACTTTCCTTGACGTTGACGTATATCGTATGTAGTACCTTTTAGACTTCTATCATTCACTTTGCTTCACGTTGCCTAGGAAGTCACAAAATAACTCATTCACTCTATTTAGCACTAATCATTTGGATGGTTAGGTGTTAAATGGTTTGACACAGGAGTGGTCTGTGTGCCAAATATCTGCATATATGTTTATTGAGTCGAGATTAGGATTCATGTTTATGATGTCCTAAGCTGACCCCACTATCAGATCTCAATTAACACCTTCATACCAATAAGGGGGAAGAACAATGGACATAAAGAGAAGAAAATAAAAAAACCAACTTAACCCTTTGGTGCATGCATTTGTTCGCTGCGAGCTTCATCGTGTTCGGTGATTGTTGCCCTGAAGCAACACCATGCAGCAAAGGGTTATTTCAAGAAAATTCGCTTGCAGCCTCATCAGTAGTAGACTGCAGCCCTCACAAGACAGCTGCCGTATGTATTTTGTCGCGCGTGTTGTGCGTTGCGGTGCATGTGTTGAGGTGCAAGACTTTGGTGCACGTACACAGCACGTACGCCAATGCAGCAAAGGGTTAAGTTTTAGCATTACGGTTTACTGTTACGTGCTCAAGGTAGGTATTGATTGTCAAGTCGATGCCTCATATGTCTGTCGCTAAAAAGCTGTTAACTTTGCAAGTTGCTTGTTCTCATTAAAGATTTAAAATGATCATGCATGTAAAATTGCGTGATCGCAGTATATTTCTTTCTCTTATAGAACTTGACTGGATAACTTTACAAACAAAACACTGGCAAGACATAACAAAAGCTAATTTTTCTAATATAATTCACAATGCTTTTGCCGTCTTGTTCCGCCATGTTGATTTTTCAATTAATGCAAACCCCAACTGTGTTATACAGCAATCTATAGTTTGAAGACCTACGCAAACATCAACAGCCGTAAAATTACTGATATAGAGAAGACATGGTGTGTATTTGTTATATTGCCATAGATTGGTCGAAGAATGGCCTATATTTTCGAAAAAGATCGGCCTTGGCGGTAGGTTATTTTATTTTAAAACTACACATCTTCCGAACGCTAAGAATACAAAAATATAATAAAAACAAACGCTATTCGTGAATCGTAAACATTTCGAGAGTTTTACATGGCAACTGTAAGACATGATCATTTTAAATCTTTAACGCTCTGAATTTTCGCGTTTTTCATACAAAAAATTCCATGAAAACGATTTCTAAGAAATAAGCTCTTGCTCAGTCACAGTATTATCCCGTAAAGTATGTTTCACCTTGGAAGAAAGCGCCTACAATATATTATTGGCGAAAGAACCATGTCTTTTACTAGCAACCTACTCCTTCCTTTAGTAAGTTAGTATAATAATATAACATAAAAGTAATCGTTTGAATCGGTTGCGAAAAATCAAACTCAATGAAGATTCGTACGATGATGTAGATATAAACAATGTTCTTACCATCGAAGGTATCAAAACTATACAATTTCTATGTGCGAAATATTCTTTATTTTTGTCTTATGACGTTTAAATTTTATCGAGCAGTAATGTTTGAAAACTACACAATCTAAATACTTCGCATGAACAATGAAAATACCATAGAGTCGATTGTTTACTAATATGCATTTTATAAACTTGAGACTGTTTAGTGTACGTTGTATTCAATATGTTTACAATACATAATAATAACACTGCCAATATTTTTGCTCATCTTCAAATACATTTTCCCCAGAAGTAACAGATTTCACGGGGGTAACATAAACCACTGTTATATCACTTATAGCAAAGAATAGAGATCACAAACTCTCGTCGGAGCATTGAAATTTTTGTCTCCAAGACGCTATGTTGAGAGGTCTCGTTCAACGTGGCATAATATCGACAATTATAGTGAAATATCGGTTTTTCGTATTTATTGTTCATACTATGGCGCTTTAACACTTAGAAATGCATAATGCCTTATGCGAGACTTTTTCTTTACTTTTTTTTGTGTTATATACTATTGATAACTTGGGTGTATAACTTTTTATGTACAATATATGTTAGACGTATTCATAATCGATTTTATTAACATCGAATAACTTAATAAAAGTCCCATGCTTCTTGTTCTTCGAAGTGCTTAGATGTTTGTTGAAAAATATTTGATGAACAATGCAATATTAACGCTGAGAATTGTATTTTTAACAACAATATAATAGTATTTATAAGTGAAATTTCCCAAAGGCTTTCTTTCAATATGGCGGCGATACCGGAAGTCAAACGACTTTTGAGACAAAAAACACGTATCTCAAATGGATTGGATAACGCTAAAATTGAAACCGAAAGTAAATTTTCCCGAATCAAAGTTGGGGACCCACTTTTCTATAGATTTGTATTACAGATTCACAGTTTTTGCAATATTTTGTCTTTTCCGTGTTTCTGATCGGACCAATTTTCTTATCCTAACTATAGAAATGCGCGGAAAAAATTTTGGACGGAAAGTTTGGGTTTCACAACGCTGTGAAACTTGGAATAAACAACTTCGATAATGCACAAGCTTATTCTAAATTTAAGGCGGATGATTCTTAACAGAAAATCGATTCCAAATACAGAGTTAATGATCAGGGTTTACAACATTGTTATATTGAAATAACCAAAAATTTTCGTCCAAAGTATTCTCCACATCCTTCACTAGTTGTGATCAAAAAAAGCGTCAAAGTCAAAATATTGCAAAAACTTTGATTCTGTAATACAAATCTATAGAAAAGTGGCTCCCAACTTCGATTCGCGCAGATTTACTTCCGGCTTCAATTTTTACTAGAAATTTTGAAAAATCATGTTGAGTGAGACCTCTGTGTGATTTCTATGATGGTTAGCTGATCCAGGGTAAGAAAAAATAAATTATGGGCGGTAATTTTAAATTTAAAATATCTCTAAAACAATGCCATTGGTTATGAAGTCGCTACTGGAAATTGAATCATTAGCAGAAAGAACTGAACAGCTTATAAGTTAAAGTGCAAGTAAAACGAAAATTGTGTTATTTTATATTTTCATTGTATTTTTATTTTCATTTTAACTGTAATAAATTCGAAATATCACTATATCTTATTTTGTGCTTTCTTTGATCGCAAATTATTAGTTAAAGATGGAAATTATTTTCGGAGTTTGTTTCGTGTTACTCTTAAAACTACAGTGGACGTTTTAAAACAGTTCATCTACACAACCAGGGACGTTATAATGCATAATTGTCGTTGCAAATTTATAAATATCCTTCCTTTTTGTGACAACTTTTGAAAGAAATACTAATGGAGTATTTTATATAATTAACACTTTACAACGAGTGAAGCTCAGTCCATTTGATGTAACTTATCAGCAAATATTCTTGATTATTCCATTTCTCATTATGCAATGTGAAGTCACTAGTTGTGTAGGCAAATCTCAGTCTGTTAAACACTCAATAACCTAACTGAATTTTAGTCGTATGTTTCCACTTGTTTGATATAATTTTATTTTACTCTGTTTTTCTAACATAATATTTTAATGCTATACTAACCTTTGAGAAAGTCTTTATCTGTTGCCAAACATTTAAACTTTAGACTTTCACTTCATTGGAATCTGCAAATGAAAAACAGTAACAGTAGCAATATTACCGTAGAGTCAGCATGGTACTTTCAAAATAAGTGGCTTCATAGAGTGCCTACTACCAGGGGAGCGCTTAGCTTCGAGTTGTTGTCTTTAGCATCGGTTGACTCTAAATCCACGCTTTATAAAACGATATTTTTTTGATTTGTTTGAAGTTGTAAAGTTGCCATAGTTGACACAAATGCACACATAAACAATTTCACCGTCAGCTACTTTGCATCGTAAAATATAATTCTTAGTTTAAATAGAAAGTCTCAAAGTAGTGGACAGTACTCCTTCTTCCATCTAACAATAAGCGTTACTAGCTCTACTAAATGCTTTCAATATTGCGCCTGGTATTTTCAAAAATAAATCTCAACTAAAAAGTAGCACAAAAAATAAACCTCCACCCTCTATCCTCCCATTTCAGTAAAATGAAAAAATCACGGGTCAATCCCGCGATGAAATCAACAAATGCTAATTAAGATTTATTTTTTGTTACAAGCATTTACTCGTTTAAAATTTACGACTAAATGATCACTTGATTCATATTGAAATTTCAGACAAAATTAACGTCATGTTCATAGTATTACCACAGAATAATGATTATACAGAAGGGTCACTCAAATGTACAACGTGTCCTCATGTCGGCCATTATTCCAGCAAGATGATTAGGATTTCTCACTGGTTTCCAACCGTTAAAATTACAATACTTAATAATGAATTCAAGTTTATTTTGAGTCAAGAAATGACTTCGGATCATTTTAAAGGCTTGGAAAAAGTCAAAAACCCTAATCATCTGGCTGGAATAATGGCGGCCACCATGCGCGGCACGACATGCGCGAGGACAAAAACGTCAAAGGTTCCGACACGAGTGACTCTTCTGTATATTCTTATTCTGTGCTATCATGTTTAAATTATTATGAAGCATGTGTCGCGTAATTTAGTATGCGCGAGCAATTTTACGTGAAAGTTTGTTTTAGACTAGCCTCTTTTTGGACATTCTCCGTTCCAATAATCCCATAGTTTAAAGGTAGTAGAAAACCCGGGGGGCTAAATAGAGAAAATACGTCCAGGTGGCTAAATACGGTAACTAAAACCTGTATGATGTTGCTCTGATCGTGAAAACACCGTACTTAGAGTTTACATAATCTAAAATTGGTGACTTTCAAAACAACAGATAAAAACATTAAAAAAGTTTTTCCTATATTTTTTGGTAACAAATTTGCTATGCATTAATTTTTTATGATCATTCTTGTCAGAGGGGTGTTAAAGCTTACCCCCGCCCCCCAGTCAGTTGACATCCCTACACTCATTTGGTTCACCCCTGATGTCAAGTTCAACTTTGCTAAATATTATTAAACATATAATGCTCATATTTTGGATACATTTTCATTAACATGTTTACCATAGAAATCAAATATATTTTAAACTCAATAATTCATTCATATGTAACATTAAAAAATCAACTGCTGTATTCTGCGACAATTACTGCTGTTCTTCAAATTGAGAGCAAAGAAGTCAGTTATACTTAATGGATCAACTATGAACGGTATTTGCCACTCTCAATCAAATTAACTGCAAATTTACTAGCAAATCAAAAATATTAAACATTGTCCATCCCATATTTAGATGTAAAACTGTAAATTACACATTTTTATTGTCAAGTATATAACCAATAGATATTTATGCAAAATTCTTATTATTTGATAATAAAAATCACAGTTGAGAGCAGAACATGAGAGTATATCAGAGCAAAATGTTTAACAAATCCTCAGCAACATGTCTTAAAATTAAAATCTAATTCTTCACTAAAAAAATTCACTCTAGCTCAGAGAGAAAACTAAGAAAAATCTCAATGGGAATTTAAAGGGAAATATAGCTCCACCTCAAACTAAATTATCATCAATTGCAATAAGTTTTGATAGTTAACATGCACTGGACTTCGATATCATTTAAAAAAAATGCCATGAAGTATAACATTAGTCATGTTACCTTACCAAAACGACTTATGTAATGTGTAAGTGTAAATAAGGCTATTTCAGTTGAAATTGGGATAATTGAATGTTTGATTTTATGTTTTTCCATTATTTTCTCATGTCATGATGGTTCATATTGACACAGCAAATTTCGTATGTCTGAGAAGTGAAAACCATAACCGCAAATGTTTTCGAATAAAATTATCCTAAGACCCATAACATATCACATTCTTTATAAGATTTTGATTACCGACAATGTTGGAAAACGGAAATAAGAACAGAAGTTAAGTCTAAATGTCCAAATGTGACGCAAGATTTAGAAGTAATATGGCCTCCAATATGTTTTGTTTGTAGCATGAGAAATACAACATGTAAAAGATTCGTTAGGTTAGTAGCAGTTCTCGCCTTAATTTGTCAAAACTCACTCTACCATCTCACTTATGAAAGTATCCCAACTGCGTGCAATTAAAGTTAGGATAAACACACACGACTTACACGAGGCTAATTGAGAACAAAGACATTTACTTACTTTCTATTCCCCAAGCAAAAACATGTCATATGTTTAATATAACGGGAATAAATAAATGAAAGACAAGAAGTCTATCCTGACGATATGATCCACGGAAAATGTTCAACTTTTCAACTGTAAATTTTTTAATTCTTAATTTTACAAAAATTAAGCGTAAGCAAATTTCGACGTACTTAAAAGCCAGTCAGTGTTGCCAGATGAAATTTTAAAATTTCATGCTCGCCTGCGTCAAAGCTCACAGAAATGGCAAAATGTTCATATTGCATCTAATTTTTTAAATCGGAAGATAAACTCGGGAATTTTCGGAAAACCTCGGAAATTATTGAAAACTCTCGGAAGTATTCGTTTTGAAAGAACTGTCGAGCGATGAAGATTTTCTTTTCATTGAACTATGATTTATCAATAAATTCTTTATAAAAATGACGAAAAATGCATAATATATAGAAAAGTTCACAAAAGTTCACAAACTTTTAATGTTCATGAAATGTTCATGAACAGAGCAAAAAGTTCATAAATCTGTGATTTATCGCTCCAGTTGTTATACAGTTCACTGGCACAAACCAATAAACCAGGGACGGCGGAGCAACATATAAAGAGGCTAAGTCTTCAATTCTACTATAGTGTCTTAAAAAACACTTTTAAAGAACAATTTCAGCTCAGTCTAAATATCTTTATTGCAAAAAGTGGGGGACTTCAGCCCCTCCTGTTCCGGCGTCCCTGTGAACAACGCCACGACAAACGACACACAACGGCGAACTCTTCGCAAAAGATAATTTTTACAGCTGAAACTTAACTACATTGAGTTCGTTGTAACTTACAGCGTTCATGGAAGAAAAAACCAACTGAAAATCACACTGTTTGCTGAAAAGACAGTATAATCAGGAAATATGACAAAAAATACTTAGCCAAAAAAATTTCTTTCATTTTCTTTTCATTTTCTTGCATTTTTTTTCATTTTTTCATTTTTCTTCTCTTCATTTTTCTTTTCCCTTTTTTTTCATTTTCTCTTTTTATCTGAAACAGTGTTCGACAGTGTTCGTCATTCTTTGTCATTTAACTGGATTTAAAAATCTGTTGCTTCGTTTTTATTTTCAAGCAAACGCAAGGAAAAAACATGAAAGTCCAGTTTCAAACAAAGTGTGGAGTCAAACTTGCAATTATGCATTTTTAAAAATGAAAAGATTTTGTCATTTTGACGTTGATAGTGCTTAAAATATAAATGGTTGTCATCTCGATATAAATGATTGAATATCTTTAAACACTTTAACATATATTAAAAAAATGACAGATCTATGATGTATGACAAAAATGTATAATACCTAAAAGTTGTGTTTGTCCTATATTTAAATTTTTCAAATGAAAATTTATACCAACAAATCGTTTTAGTTTATTAGAAAATTTATTCTATAGAACTGTGGATAAACAAGAAATAAAATGAACATAGCTAGCTCAAATATTTTTTTGGTGAAAAATAAATTTTTGCTTGTTCACTCTTGATCGTTAGACTAGTCAAATAGTATCAACTGAAGTTAAATTAAAGCATAAAAATGGGGACTCAACGATTAGAAAAATATAAATGGTTTATGATCTCGCGAGAAACTAAGCCGGCAAGGAATTACAACAGAGATTACAAATGATGGCGACAAAAGATTTTTTCTGGCTTCACTTTTTGTCTTCAATTATCATTCTAATCAAGCTGCCAAACTACCTTTGTAACCCAAAAGCTAAAAACATTCCGAAAAATAGCTATTGAAAAGTTAGGGTGTACGAGGCACAATCACCTTTCCCCCACCACCCATGGACAGTTTTAGTTTTGCTGGAACCCCTGGCAAGCAACCAGGCAAATTGCCTCTTTCCAGCCTCCTCTCCCCTCTATAACTTTCTTGCCCAAATTTGCGCCAAAAAGTCCGTTGAAAATATTTAATTGAAACCGAATTACACATTTACAATTTTTTTGCTCTACACAAGGATGGATAATTGACATAATTGATAATTGATAAATGGATTACCTGTCACTGAGTTTACTGCTTTCAAGATGTTGTCAGCTCTTAACGCAAGGAAAGCAACTGGCCCAGACGGTATTCCCGCCTGGGTTCTAAAAGAGAATGCTGATTTATTGGCCGCTCCCGTGGCAGATATTATAAACAGCTCCTTTAAAGAGGCCCGGTTACCAGAATCATGGAAAAAAGCAAATATTACACCAATTCCAAAGCAGAAACCTGTACGAGATATTAATAAACACTTAAGGCCTATATCACTTACTTTGATTGTATCAAAAGTAGCCGAGGAGTTTGTTGTGGAAAGTTATGTCAAGCCAGCTGTACTTAAGAAGATAGACTCTAATCAGTATGGGGCAATCCCAAATTCAAGCACAACTATAGCTTTACTTAGTATGTTACAGTCGTGGAATAAAGCAACTGATGGTAACGGGGCGGCCGTTCGTGTGCTGTTATTGGATTTCAAGAAAGCTTTTGATCTGATTGATCATAACTTATTGGTTGAAAAACTACGTTCATTTGATATACCGAAATGGGTTCTACACTGGATTATAGATTTCCTCTCCTTCAGGAAACAAAGAGTAAAGCTGAAATTCGATTGCTTTTCAGAGTGGAAACTCGTACCTGCAGGCGTTCCGCAAAATTGGGGCCTTGGCGATTTTTGATAATGATTAACGATCTCAAGTTACCAAATAATGAAATGTGGAAATTCGTGGACGATACCACTGTTAGTGAAGTAATTGAGAAAGATCAAACAAGTAACTTACAAAACCAAATGGACACATTAGCGAACAGCATCTCGCGTGATAAGTTCCAGTTAAATGAAACCAAATGTAAAGAGATGCGAATTTGTTTTGGATCTAATACCAATGATCTTCAACCAATTACCATCAATAACATTACACTGGATATTGTCCAACACGCGAAAGTTTTGGGATTGGTTATAGCTAGTAACCTTAAGTGGAACATCCACGTAAATGAAATAATTAAGAAATGCCGTAAACGCCTTTATTATCTTATTCAACTAAAACGAGCAAATATCGAAGTCAAGGAATTGCTCCAATTTTACAAAACGTGTATAAGACCTGTCTTGGAGTATGCTTGCCCAGTGTTCCACAATAGTCTGACATTGTATCTGTCAGGTGACCTAGAGTCAGTCCAAAAGCGAGCATTAAAAATAATCCTGCCTCATCAAGAATATGAAAACGCTCTGCAGTTTACTAATTTGCAACGCCTTAGCGAAAGGAGGAATGATATAACAACAGCGTTGTTTCAGAAGATAGTAGCAGATTCCTCACATAAGCTTCATGACCTTTTGCCTCCTCGTTTAGAACGTTCAACTATGGAACTTAGGACTCAATCTTTATTTAATACTAACTTTAATACCAAACGTTTTAGAAATAGTTTTATAACTTATAACTCTTTGAAGATATAATTTAGTTAATTTATTTATATATGTATTATATGTAATCTTAAACGTATTTCAGCAATATGGCTGCCAGTTTTAAGAAATAAATCATCTATCTATCTATCTATCTATCTAATGGATAATTTAGTGGACTATGTTCATATATACATACTCTATGTTATTAATTTTTTTTGAAATCAATTGTGATCACAAATTATACATCATTATATCTTATAAAATACAAAAATAAAATGGGTCCGCTGATTTGTCTTTAGCACCACGTTTGCACTGCAAACCGATCTGAGCTCAATCAACGAAATCAATTAATCAATCACGAATACAATTACGAAATTTGTGTTTCGCATAATTGTTATTTCATAAAGAATATTATCATCGACCTTATTATCGGCCTTCTCTCGCCCCTAGCTGAAATGCCCTTAAATAGTTCTATTATATCCTGTGTCACAAAAAAACGTATAATAAAAAAACCTAAAAACATTAAAAAAACGTATAATAGCAATATTGCAGAAAATATGTATACTGAGACTTCAAGTCCGTCTACATGAAACTGCCAAGTTTTAGTGGGGTCAGTTTTTTTCCATTTGTAAAGTTTTTGGATGTCAAGTTTTAAATTAGCTGTAAAGTTTTAGGGTAAGAGTCAATTTTTTTTCCCTGTAAAGTTTTTGGATGTCAGTTTTCATTTAACTGTAAACTACGGCATATTTGGATATTTTCTTTTTGAACTTGAAAGCCATCATGAATTTTGAGCTCCAATTTCACAATGCGATCAGTAGCGTGTGCAAGATTTTCAGTAGCAAACAAGAAAAAAAAAGTATTTAAATACACGTATTGTTCCAAAATAGACAGCAGACGCATGATATATTACATACTAGACAAACGAATCAGTGTTTAATGTTGTAATTATGTCATGTATGTTACTGCCGTCATCGAAATAATCTTTACTTCGGGTGTATGAAAATCCCGACTGTTTGTTTTAAAGATGTTGTGAAAACATGTTGCTACCTCAGGTACGGTGCTTTTAACGGTGGCACAAGTTGTGTTTACACAAGCTTAACTATCTATAGCGTTTTTTATTTGGCAATGAGACGGAGCTGGCTCAGTATGCCTAGAAATTTGGAGAATGATTGACCTTGGTCAAATGAAGATTTTGCTGTTTGGTCACTTGAAGAAAATGTAAACATTTTGATGTGCGATAAGAATTGAGCACTCAATAACAAAAGATCACTGTTTTTTCCTCCAAATGCCGTCAAGAATCCAAATTAGCGCAGTTTTAAAATCATATAATTAAATTTAATTATTGTACATTGATATTTTGGTCCAACGCTACTTTTACAGGATATCACATAATGCAGGGGTGGGCAACATACGGCCCGCGGGCCGGGTCCGGCCCCTGAAGGGATTTTGACTAGCCCGCTGACTGTCTCCGACCATTGAATATTGAATATTATTCATGTAATAATCCGACCCACCAATAACTTCATTTTCCTAAATCTGGCCCGCCGACTGGAGAAGTTGCCCGCCCCTGACATAATGTATATGATCGCTTTTCTCAATTAAATACAAATTTTAAATAATTAAGAATAAACCTGAAATTGATTAGAGAATTATACTCGTAATTTTTGAAATAGATTCAAAGTTTTTTCTGTATGCTTTAATTTCGTACGCCCCTCTTGGAAATCCGCAAAGGGTGCTAAAGACAAAGTTTATTATATTTGGTAGGCGACAACAACTAAAGAATCTGCCAGATGATCTGTCTATTCAGTTTCTGGGAGTCTCTCACAGCATCCAAATCAGTAAAGGATCTTGGCGTAACTTTGGATCGAGAACTCACCTTTGATGAGTATATAAATAATGTGGTAAAATGCTACATGTAGTTACTCATTATGCCAGATCTCCATGCAGAGTTGGCCATTTGTTCAATAAAGAACACATTGAAATTAATTGAGGTCATGGGTTCGCAGGTCATGGGTTCGAATCCCGTTGAGTCACCTGATTTTTTCAGGTCCTGAGACGATTGCTTAAATTGTCCAGCAAAGTGCGAAGATCATATCTCATTTAATTTCAAACACCGCACTGCATAAAACATTCAAAGAACACATTGAAGTTATTCTCAACTCACTCGTCTTCAGCAAATTATATTTTAGTTCCACTGTGTTGTCAAACACAACTAAGAAAAATGTTGCTACGTTACAGCAAGTACAGAATTTTGCTCCTAGAATTGTGGACAATAAGAAGAAACTTTAACATATAACTCCAACGTTGAAATCCCTGAAATAGCTCACAGTATCTGATAAGTTGGTATTAAATGACGCTGTCATGAATTATAAATGTATAATCGGTGAAGCAACGTCTTATTTTTGTTCCAAGACAACAAAAATGTGTGAGCAAACACATCAACATAATACCAGATTTCAATCATCCGGCAAGATAAAACAACAACTCTGTAGAACATCCACAGGTCAACGATCCCTTTTAGTCAGAGCTATAGATCTGTGGAAAACTATAGTATTGAAAACAATATCCATAAAACAAATTTTTTAACTTTTAATGAACAAATTTTTAGATTCTTAAAATTGTTTTTACACTTGTAATAGTTCACTGAAAAGCCCTTTCAGTACTACTACTGCTACTGTTAAAGTAAAGTTTTCCCATTGATCTATCTACGTACGAAAATTGTTTGTAACAATATAAAGATCCAACAATGTAAATTTTCCTAATGCTATCCATGAAAAGTTATAATATTGGATATTATCGTACAGCTATTTTTGTAAAAATTTTATGCTAAAAAATTTCCCATTTTTTTAAATACCCCATAAAAAGATTATAAACAAAGACCTCTCAATCGTAAATAACCTAACTAACTATCCAAAAGCCTAGACTTCCACTGTAGATGGTAGAGTACTTAATGTACCTGTTCTCTTGTAGTTACTTTAGAAATAGTACAAGAGGGGATACGAAGTACACGAAGGGATACGAAGAGGTTAAATTAAAGGAGTCACTATAGTACCAAATGCTAAGGGTTTGTGATGTAATGCCCAAAGTTGAAGACGCGTATGAAGAGTTGTAGTCAAGAGCTAAACCAGAACCTGGGGATAAATATTCATATATTCAGCTCTGCCCAGCTGATTTCTTTTGTTTGCAATGTTCATTTCAAAAGAAATCAGCACGGCAGAGCTAAATATATGAATTTTTACCCCCCCCCCAATTAACGTTCTAGTTTCGCCCCTTGTTGTAGTTCGGTTATCGTTGGTGCAGTTGATGTGTTATTGTTACAACACGATATCCAACATCCCAAATTTTTTTATGAACTAAAGTTTAGCGTAGCGTATGTTCTTCTTTGTGTAATTATTTTCTTTTTCCTTAAGGTACGTTTACACACAACGATTTGTCGGGCCGACATTGACGCCATATTACGCGTTCTTGCCATATTTGGAAAGTCGCCCTACTCAAAAAATCGGATGAAAATCTGTAGCAAGTTACAGATTTGATCCCGATTTTTACTGTGTTGCGATAGCTTCTGGAACAAGCAAATTATGATTATCGAAAAATAATGATCATTATTTTTAAATAATGATCAGAAATGTCTTCTGTCAACACGGAAAAGGAAAATGTTGAGAGGGTTGTAGTTTTTATCAAAAACCAAAAGCTGCAGAGATTCAGAAAAAAGAAAAAAGTCACGATTATTTTCTGAAAAGGAAATACGGCAAATTTACCTCGATTTGCACTTCACCTACACTGATCTTTATTTTATTTTTTTTTATTTTTTGAAGCATTAATAATAGTAAACATTGCCTTGATTGTTGCTACAATGACAAGTTGTTCTTTGACCTGTTTTTTTTGCGGCTTTCGAAATCGCAAAAATAATTCGGATTCATTATTTTTTACACCCAGCGATTTGTTGTACACGACAAATTTTCCAAATATGGCAAGAATCACGTATAATGGCGTCAGTGTCAGCCTGACAAATTGTTGTGTGTAAACGTACCTTTGCATTGTGATAAATCTGTATAACTGACGTTTTTCGTGTAGAAATGGAGTGATTGTGATTCAATAAATCTTAGCTGTACAAAACTATCCGAGCTTTAGTCGTTACATCTGAACTTCTTGATGATGTTCTGGCTTCCATTAATTATTCCATCTACACTTTGGTCTCTACATCTGAGATCCTTGCTATAAGTAAAGACTAGATGGATGGTTAGTGAAATTCTAGAAAATTACTTATCCTGCAATTTCACCAACCATCCAACTAGACTCCAGTCTCCATCTAAGCTCGATGTAGATGTTTGGAATTCCACTGATCATCCATCCAGATTTTGGTCCTTTTATCTCAGCTCGCGTTGTAATTGGCCTATAATTTGTAATCGTCCATACAGATTTTTGTCCTTTTATCTGAGCTCGCGTTGCAATTGGTTTAAAATTTTACTAATCATCCACCCAGATTTTGATCCTTTTATCTGAGCTTGCGTTGGAATTGGTCTAGAATTTCACTTATCATCCATATAGCGAATTTGCTAGTCGTGTGAGAGCTTTTCGCAATTCCGAAGAAACTTTGGGTAATCCAATTTGAAGAAAAATTTATCAAATAAATATAAACAAAACTGTTCAGTCCACAATCATCTTAATAAAGAGGGTATCATCTTTTACATACTGACGATTTCTTAAACTTTCAAATGGCATGAACAGAGGTGATCCTGAAGCAATATTCATGTCTGACTTTGGTCGTTGAAACGAGGAACTTTGAGGATCTGAATGAAAAGCGTCAATCATGTGATCTCCATTTCCTTGATCCATTAACATCATCGTGATCTTTTTTTGAAATGGCCATGTTTGTAGAGCATCGTAGTCACCTAGGAAAAATAACAGAACCATTAAAACAAATAATAAACAAACAAAAAAATTCACAAAAAAACTGTCCTTGTAAATAAAATTTAGTCGGATGGCATTTTCGAACACAAACAGAAAGTTCAGTGTATTTCTCCAAGTGACATGAATTACAATTTAGGTAGTAAAAGAACAACATGTAATCTTATGGAATAAGTATCCTCATGAAGATAGTCGTCTAATTATGCCCAGGAGTTATACTACCCACATGTAGGTTTTACATGGATAAAGGAATGAAAAAAAATATGTGGTAGACAGATTGTCAGTCAAGATTTACTACAACGATTGGCTAAGTTATTGGTGCGCATCAGCATCTATAGATCATTCGCTATATATGTTTAGTAAAAAAATTTGTAGGTATTCTTATTTGTTTTCTTTCACCGTCAAAGCTATCTTACGACAGAACATACAAGAAATAGCGATGAACATCGATAATTGGGAATTGGAGCTCAAATTTATATATGCATGATACGCTGGGTAAAGTTCTTTTGAAATCCCTTGTTTTTAATGCGTCAAAAAACATGCATGTCTAAATGTTAACCCCGTAATTATCGATCTTCCTTCGCTCTTGGCTATAACCCAAATTAAACAATTTCCCGTAATAAACAATTTTTCCAGTCCTCTACAAGCACTAAAATTCCCGAACTGTTCTTCAAGATAAAACAGCCAAAAAACGTAATTAAAGAAGAAGCATTATACGCAGGCAAATCAATATCACCCCTTCAATCAACAAAGAGCTTAGCTAAAAGGTCATGCATTCTGAAAAAAATCGAGTGTATTCCTATGGAACTCGAAATACTTAAGAGTGAAAGTGCTTGACGTCCAATTACAATTGAGACAAATGATGAACACACATAAAATACATCAATTGACCAATATCATTTTAAGAAACTGGAATTTTATGAAAAGAGCTCGAAGCAAACAACTGAAGACATTCATCTTCAGTAACCTTGATTTAGATTTAAGGAAAATCATCGCATCTTACTACTTACTACTTCCTCCGATGCAAAAAATCATAAAATCGCAAGATATTCACACATTTTTGAATTGTTTTTAGAAAGAGAAACAGGAACATTTTCATTTTTATTTTCAGGAACATATTCATTTTCATTTTCATGTCACAAATCTGTTGCACAATTTACTTCCGTTGATTCAAAGAACCACGTATAAAGTTCACAAAACTAAATCCCGGGAATACTTAGGGATTCCACCCAAATAAATAAAAAACCTAGTTGCATGTTAAGCACACAATATCTTCCAGGTATAAAAGCTTCAAGAAATCAAAATCGTAATACTCATAAGCAAAATAAGGAACCAAAACTGATTACAATTAAAAAATAAAAAAATAATAAATAAGTATTTTAAAATACGCGAAAAAATAAATTGCCGACTATTTCTTAAACTTTTCTTCTAATATCAAACGCAACATCTATTTTAACGATGAATGTAAAATTTCTAAATAAAAATGCGCATGACACAGTTTTAAGAAATAAAAAGGTGGAAATTTAACCCACTCACACAAATGCCCGTAAATTTTAAGGGGGTAAATAGTAAATGCAGAAGAACAAATGCAAAAATAAATAAAAATTGCCTGTACCTTTCATGACAACAAAAAACAAAGATAAATGAGTTCCCTTTCCAAAACCATCACCATTCATATAGATCTTACCACACATCTTGTAACCATATTGAGAACTATAGAATGGTGGACTGTACAAGGCTGTTTTGATACCATTAATGGCGTCCTGTCTCTTTCGATTGAAGTTATCTATTTTCCAAAGTAACGTACCATTGTAGCTGTGTATGGCCTGATTAGACCCAAGTGTACGCGAACCACGTTGCGATTCAAGGTCCGTAATCTTCACCGTGTTTCTCGCCAGTGATTCGTCATTTTGATCTAAGCGCTCACGAAATCGTAGTATAGTTGAGGAATTATCTCGTAATTGCCGTTCGAGAGTCGAGATTCTATCACGCATCGAGGAAACTTCTGAGGGCAACTGAGGGTTACTGTCGTTACCACCACGACTTTCGATGCTCTCAATCCTCCTTTCAAGACCTGTAAGTTTACCCACTAACATAACAAATTTTTCTGAAAGATTAGCACGAACAGCAGTAACTTGGTCACCCATGTTTTGAACAGCAGTAGTAAACTCTGGACGTGGTACATAGTTACTTAACTGTGTAACAAATGCCATAACATATCGTAACAAGGCGCTCACGTGATCAATTAGATTGTCATTCATATGTTGACGGATCTCCTTTCGTTTTAAAGTCTGCGAAAGAAAGACAAAGATGATACTAACATATTCCTCAAACAAAATTACAAATTTGCTACAACTATTTGTTGTTTTAATATAAATATAATCTAATTACGCAATATAAAGTGTTATTCCACGATAAAAACTGTCAAACAGGTTTGATTCGTTAAAACGTTAAAAGCACGTTTGGTCTGTTCATTGAAAACAGGCTTTACTAGCTGGGAAATGGAATATTCCCATTATGACAGTGGCGATAGATTTTCCAGGCAGGAAACGTAATCTTATAATGAACATAAGAGCTAGCTTATAGCAATAATATTAACTGCTATTGATGCAAATAATAATTTAAGAAAAGAGTTTTATTAACGTTTCGTCGCAACGCGCGACATCTTCTGAATGATAACATAATAATACAAAATGGGAATATCAATGACAGTATTTACAAAGTATGAATAAATTAAGTAGAAATAGAGAGGTCGACCAATCATAGGGAGGCTAACTGGTAATTCAATAGTACAACTACAGAATCATGTCAAGGGTCTTTGATGAAAATTTTGTTTAGAAACAGTTTCAGTGTTGAATATTTCATTGCTGACATGAGATAATAAATCACTTCATATCTTCTTACTTTATCATAGTTGCATCCAATAGCTTGAAATTCACATTTAGTCGGCACCTCGTCACAAGTTGTACTTTGATGTTGTTCAATATCATTTCTTGGTATCTTTTTCTTACAATATTTACAAACCACAGGATAATTTTCACACACATTTTCTTGGTGATCCTGCATGTTAAATAAAGCAAACAAAAATTTAGAAAGTAAAATTCACTATAATTTTTCTTCAAAGTTACAAAGGTTGGTAACAATAGGCAAAAACATTTAAAGACACACAATTTTACAAATATTGAAACAGGAGAAAAGCGCTCTTTAGTTGTATTGATTTTTTTGTAGAAAAAAATCTAACGATTTTACTAATTGGTATAAATGTTATGCAATGAACATCGCTTAGCACTTTTGGCTATTAACTCAATTCTTATTTTCCTTTCATCCGTGTGAGAATATTCCACGCACCTTAAGTGAAGCATGCGGGACATCTTTACCACAATATTTACATTTCACATTGCGATATTCACATTTATTCTTCAAATGTTCATCAAGGAGAGAGCGAGGTAACTGAATGTTACATTGCTTGTGTATACAGCTGATGAGCGCATGCTCACAAACTTGATAATGACCCTGACAAAAAAGAAACTTAATAAGTAAAAATGCCAAACTTTTTTAATAAATTTCTCAATTCAACTCACTTCCAATTCTTCGTAGGAGCCAAACCATTCACACTGTTCAGAAGGACAATGTAAACGAATACTTTTCAACTCACGTTTCGTAAAAGCATCAGGGAAAACCTGTATATAAGTTTCATAAAAGTACAAAGATTGGTGTAATAATTTCACATTGGTAGATAAAGAATATTTTGAGAATGGAAGAATATTTTACAGGAGTTTCTCAATCAACATTTGATAGAGCTGTATGGAAGTTTTCTTTAAAAACTCTAGAATATTTTCACCTACATCATTTCTGGTCAATTTTTCTTGATCTTCGGGACATTTTGGGTCAGAACTTCTACAGATTAAAAGAATGTTAAAACTACAAGGTGCATCAAAAAATTATAAAACTTAAATATCGAGAAAACTATCATTTCATCAAAATTTCTCAAAAATGTTCCCGCGTTTATGTATTTTGGCATCGTTTGGTTTATATTAAAGTAAAAACAATCAGAAAAATTAATCTCAAAAAGAGGGAGAGCAGTTTGTAAAGGCCTCAATTTTAACCACTTGCGCAAAGAAAATGAAATGTTTAAAATCTAATTTGATTTGAACAGGTGAAAGTTTGAAGTCTGTTGCGCATTGTACTAAAATTTTAGATTCACCTCTTTGAATGAAATTAGATTTTAAATGCCTAAATTTCTTTGATTGATTTCACTGGTACATAAACCAGATGCCAAAATACATTGACACATTTTGAAGAAATTTGGATAAAATGATATTTTTCACACGTTTTTAAAGTTTCTAAATTTATTGATACATTCTGTAGTAGCAAAAATGTTGAATGTTAAGAAAAGATCATGGTGAGACACGCAAAACACAATCTTCTGTAAACTGCTTAATCCTAGGAATTATGATGAACGTAAACATACGCCCGTATTGTAAAAGCTAACTCACAATTACTGTATGGAGCTTAAAAATTAGCTTATAATTGTTTGAACACGGTATTTTACGTCACAAATTTATTGATTGGAAAAATTTTAGCAAAATCCTTGCCATCGAAGGAGAAAGAATTTCGTCATTGATGAATGGGAATAGTGTTTTTACATCGCACTCAGTGAGAGTGAGTATGAGCAAGCTTTTTGAATACGGGCCATAATGTTTGTAATTACAGAGTTCATTTATATATTTCTATGCTTTATAACAATTTCTCTTACGAGTTTGAGTTGAATTTCAACAAAGTTAAGTCGATAAAGCAGCTTGCAATTGAAGTAACTGACTGACAACAAACACAACATGGATGACTAGTTTCTCCAGTAAATCTTCACGAGCTCTGATTCGTGAGAACGTTTTTAAGTTGATGTGTTATTTGAAAAGAAAAAACGTCAATTATGCTCAATACATAGTATAGATATGCATCAGTTTGTAAAACAAAGAATAGTATACAATTTGTCAAAACGAATGATGTATACAGTTAATGTAAAGTATTTATCTTACGTCATGTAAAGTGTCAATTGTATTGTCATTGTGAAATCATTTCACAATACATTTCTGTACACACAATACAATGACGTAAGAACCAGATAACAAATACGGCTAACCTGACGTTTACTCCTCATTTGACTCTGAAGATGACTACCGCTAAGGTTGTCAAAACGTCAGTCAACAACAACAAAAACAGTCCTTCTCAGGACTATACCAACCTGGACGATCTACACTTACAAACATGTAACGTTACTCCCGGGTTCAAACCATTTCCTTTAAAGAATAGTATTTCAGAACTCAATCGTCGCACTAAATCTAGTATTTTAAAACATATACAGTAGTTTGATGTTGTACCTATCATGTTAAAGTAAGGTATAACAGAAATCAAGGCTGCTGACCTCATCGATACCATAGTAGATAGTTGTACAATAATGAGATAAAAGACACCACAAGATAGGATAAGATAGGATAAGGTTGAAACACGTGATACAACATTGGATAAGAAGGAACATTGCCAATGATATCCATGATTTTAATAAGTCAGAACTTCCAGTTCACAGTTTTGATAGAAAATTATCTTACCCAAGTATTATGTCGATACAAGATTGACAAAACAAATGTCCACACATTGTCTGTGTTGGATTGACGAGGAGGAGTTGGCAGGAAGTACAAATATACTTCGCTGGGATTTTTTTCCTGTCTACATCACGGATTTTGATCCCAGGCATCTTGAATGAGGGTAATTCTTTTCACAAATAGAATCTAAAATTTGATAAAAAAAACTGTCGAAATATGATCTAAAAAATACAGGACAATTTGACAAAAAGCACTGAAACAGTGGTAAGTAATCATTTTAGTGATTTACATAAACTTTTCAGCAATTTCACTCAAATACATGCTCAAAAAACTGTCTGTTTATTTCTCTTTTAAAGCTCATTTCGCAATAAAATCTATAATGTTTTATTCTCTTGTTCGGCCATATCGGATTTATAATAGCTACAATGAAAACCCCAAACTGGGTAACAGAGCAATCTATGTCAGCTGTTACGTATGGAAAACACAAACATTAAGGACGTACGCGAATAGCAAATGCAATAATTTTACTTATGTAGAGAAGAGATGCTAGGCATTTGTTATAGATTGATCGAAGAATGGCCTACATTTCGAAAAAGATTGGCTTTAGCGGTATGTTATTACAACGATTTCATAATAGAAAACCTACAAAAGCTTAGAGCATCTTTCTCGCACACAGAAAATTTAGTGAAATAAAGACCTATGAAATACACCGTAAAAACATATTTCCCAATGTTTGTGCTGCACCTATATGAAATCTGTTTACTCTGAGAAAAAACGAGCACAACACATCATTAGGACATAATTAAGGCATATCTTTTAGCTACCAAAGACTGCTACGCTTGCAATATGTTCAACAGTTTAGTCATATAATATCATAATATCAGTTATTCGTCAAAACTGTTTCAGAAATTTCAATTCGATGGAGATTCGTATTTCAAATGGAGACTCGTATTGTATCTAAATTTTAGAATTCCTGTGCGTGTAGATTCTTCTTATTTCTTTCAGATAACGCTTAACTTTTATCGAGCATTAAATTCGTCAAATTAAACAATCTATAAAGAACAATTCATCTTATAACTTCGTATGAACATGGAAAATGTAGTAGAGTCGATTATTTAGAATATGCATTTTGTAGTTAACAGTCTTCATGAGACGTTGTTTTAGAGTACGTCGTTTTATACATTAACAACAATATTAAATCAACAGACTTTTCGTGCGAATGACTGACATTAGTAATGCTTTTACTCATGTTCAAAACCTTTTTTCTTAGGAGTAAATGATTTCTTAGAGAAACACAAATCACTTTGATAGCACGAGTAGCGAATTCAAGGTTAAGTAAAATATATGTATTAGCCGTTAATTCTTTATTCAAAATATTTTATAACAATGCCATTGGCAACGAATTTTCAACTATAATAAATTTGACCAATCAATGAGTTTTTGTAATTTATTGTTCCTAACGCTGGACTTTTTACTTGAAATCGAATTACAGCAAAAAAGAGCAGTTTAAGAAGTTAAAGCACAACTATGAGTAAAATAACTTTATCATGAGTGTAGTGAGCAATATCTCTTCCTTTAACTTCCATTAACTTCCTTTAATCTCTTTACGCAAATCTCAGTCTGCTAAACACTTTGAAAAAGTAACCCATAGCGTAACCTATATGTAACTGGAAGTCTATGTTGCGAACATAAGAATCGAACTCAACATTTACCTTCGAGAAAATCTTTATCTGTTGACAGATAATCTTTAGAGTTTCACAACAATATATATATTGAAGTCTAAAAATAGAAAGCATTGTATGTTTTTCAATTTGAAATTGAAAATTATTGAAAATTATTGAATGAGGTTGATATCCTCCGGCTCAATGGTTGAGCATGATATCAAGAATTATTCAGACAAAGGTCAATGTTAGCTGCCGAAGCGAAGCTGAGGAAGGAAAACGATGGATAAAACACCTGAAATGGAATAGCCAAATGGGAATATGCGTAAAAATGCGAAAAAAACACATTAAAAAATCTACTATAGTCACACAAAGTTGGGTGAAATTTACATTGATTTGTCTTCGTTTCAGCCAACGAAATCGTAGACCAGTTTTCGAATAACGTCACTGCCAGCGTATTTGTGTGATTTAATACACTTATAGTTAAACTACAGTACCGACCTCGAGTAACATGACATGACTCGCGAGTCAATTGCGAGTCACTCTCGAGTGTGAGAAGTTTGCGAGTGAATAAGTGACTCGCTGTTTGCGAGTGAATAAAATAACTCGCTGTTTGCGAGTGAATCGAAATAACTCGCAAAAATTTCCGACAACGACTATTCATTTGAAGCAATATCTCGGTACCTAATGACGTTAAAATCTTTTGAATTTTTTACAAAAGCATTTTAATAACTTCACATTTCTCATGGCACGAACGTTATTCGTAAAGCGGTAGACACCATAGAGAAATTAGTGAGAAAATCAAAGTAACTCTCAAAGATTTTCTTCTAACAGTCTGAGATTGTTGACATATATTATCTTGATGTTAATGCAAAAGAACATGAAAGTGTTTGGAAACAATGTATTGTTAGAATAGACGAGTTTTTAAGAAGAAAAGTTAAGTCATAAATTAGCTATATGTATTAAATTTTGAAGCTTATCGTTGCTTGCTAGTAATCAAATGTGTAAAGTGCTGTGAAGTCAATGAAATTGTTTCAGAATCTAATCTCATTTTTAAACATTTCTACTGGTAAGTAGAATCGCAAAAGCTATCATCTAGCCATTAACTATACACGTGGTTTTATTTCATTGATTGCTATTAAATGTCTATGGCCTTTATCAATATCGTCTGTGTAACACATCGAAAACGTGAAGTCAATGAAGTTTTTTCAGAACCAAATTTAAAAGATTATGCGCACACTCATCTCATAGCTACATTCCTTAAATATTTGACCTCAAACAATATTCGTTTTTGAATGTATTCTATCTAAGATAATATATGTCAACAATCTAAGACTGTTAGAAGAAAATCTTTGAGAGTTACTTTGATTTTCTCACAAATTTCTCTATGGTGTCTACCGCTTTACGAATAACGTTTGTGCCATGAGAAATGTGAAGTTATTAAAATGCTTTTGTAAAAAAATTCAAAAGATTTTAACGTCATTAGGTACCGAGATATTGCTTCAAATGAATAGTCGTCGTCGGAAATTTTTGCGAGTTATTTCGATTCACTCGCAAACAGCGAGTTATTTTATTCACTCGCAAACAGCGGAGTCACTTATTCACTCGCAAACTTCTCACACTCGAGAGTGACTCGCAATTGACTCGCGAGTGACTCGCAAGTCATGTCATGTTACTCGAGGTCGGTACTGTAGCTATAATCAATAATTTCGCCGATCTCGACAAACAGTGTTTTGAATTTCTAATACGTGTCGGGTGGATATCCCTAACATATAAGACGAACTTATTTGCGAGTTCGTCTGCGTAAATACGAAGACGAATCAATGCAAAACTGAAAAATTTCACCACACAATGCGTGAAAGTAGTTATTTAAAGTATTTGTGTGCTTTTTTCCCTAAACTTCCCATTTTCTCATCTCCTTGTGCGCATTTTATCCTTTTTTCTTTTATTCCATTCTGCATTTAATGCCTAACATGTCTCTAGGACCTTAATGTTTTTGACATTCGTGCACAACAACAATACACTATAATTAAACACTCACACTCTCACACATTTCCTTTGCATACATCATATCCTATAAACCTGACAACAAATAAAGGATATTTCTCATATTAGTAATTCAAATTTGCATTCCACTCCACCCCCCCCCCATTTTTGGTCATGGTACTTATCAACAATGCTTATACATGTGTAGCCCACATATGATGGTGGTTTCTAAAATTATGCTGCCTAGTTGTTTTTTTGTAGGAGAATTGTCTCTTTTTTGTCAAGCTGTTTTCTAAGAATAATTCAGAGGTATGTTATACTATAGCAGGAACACTATAGTCCTAGAAATAAGCAATACAAGCAAAAAACCATTCCCAAGAAACAGTGGAAGATTTACTGTTGGTCAGAATACCATATATTGCTTAGAGAACATTCTAGGACTACAATATTACTAATAGCATTTGTTTTTTGTAAAATATTTTATACAGGAAATAGATTTATATTGATGTTTCAAAGCCACTTTAATACTGACAAGAAGCAATATAGTATACTTGGTTTTTGAACAAATAGCTTAATTCAGCTTAATTTGAAAAATGAAAACTGAAGCAAAACAAATCAACCAGCACTAAGACAAAACAATAATACGGCAATATTCATATATGTAAGTATTCATTATGTTTGTCCATCAACCATAACATTTATAACGGCATACCCAGCAGGTTATGTTGGAATCGGCAATAATTATACATGGCCAAATTTTATATTAATTATAATATGTCTTTACTATATAAATGCTGTTAATAAGATGAAACAATCGGAAGTAATCAATTATTTCCATCGAAATTGATCATGGTTCATACCATGAATAACAGGAGATGCCCCACTCCAATTATGAAAGCTAGCCACTACCTCCATACACAACACTGAAAGCAAATACTGAAATATATCTTTTATACCAGAAAAAATACATAGCTGTATAAGGCTGATGTGTACTTATAGAATAGTTATTAAATAACTTGAAATATTATTTCACTACTGCAGATATAGTGAAAAATGAAGTGGTCAACAAAAATGACATATTTTTCAAGATCTTTACTACAATTACACGTCAGCACAATCGGACAAAGAGTTTCTTATTCGATGATATTTTACTTACTTTAAATCATGTACGATATTCACTTTATAAGTAGTGTCTAAACCTTTAATTAAATGTTGTAAGTTCAAAAAATGCTTACCAAAGCAACTTGAGTATAAGTATATAAACAATAAATACCTCAACAGCAAGGCACGATGTCGAGCAGCAGGCACAAGCACTGATATGTATTACACTGGATAACGCATCCATCCATGTATAAAATATAGTACGATAATTGAAGCCGGAAGTTGGCTCATGTAATATTAAAGACATCATAGCTAAAAGTCCTTCGGCAACAATTTTAGAAGCATCAATCTGCTTACCATACGCCATACTGACATAAATCGCATCACATACTCGCATAAATTGACTTTGATATTTTAGTAGTATACAGAGCGTCGTTTCTGGCCTACCTCACACCTAGAGACCTATTATACGTAAATCTAAGTGCCCCAGCCCTAGTTCGCGTACGTATGCTAGCATATTCAATAACTATAAAATACTTATAGTCGGAATTTGTTTCTTATTATACTTCTTCAAATTGTCGGCTGGTCATGGTTTTTTTATGCTTGCATAATTACAGTGAATGTCAAACCCAGGACAACGGCAGGAGCCAAAGACGGCCGGCCCACCCCCCGCGCCCGCGCGGCTGGCTGTCGGGTCTATTATTTAGAAGTAGCGTATAGTAGGGTACGTGGTAAAATGAATAGTGAATCCGAAAGAGTACGTACGAAAAGACAAGAGCAAAAAGAAAGAAGAGAAAGAGAAAAAAAATTGAATAATATAATAATAAGACAAAGAGAAGAACATCTTAAATTACAAACCAGGCTGCTAATACAGACAGGTACGATACAATTAGAAGAATAATATTTATATAGTATATAGAATCGAAATGGACACTGTTAGAGAGATTCTGTTACTATATAAACAGGGTGTTATAGGTGGAAGAGCTCTAAACTCGTTCCTTGAAGCTTTTCAACCACTAGCATCTACATCAAGAAAGCGTACTAATACAGCTCCACCTGAACCTCCTTCGGCACCATGTAAGCGCAGACCTATTAGGCCTAATGACGTAATAGAAATTAGACCGACTGCTATGACAAATTCTGTAGGTTGGGAAACAGCGTATGGAAATATTAGCGACCCAGCGTTAATACGCTATAACGCATTTCAGTTTCTTAGTGCAATTTCTCCAAAAAACTAAAATTCCGACGCCTCCGGCTGCCGGTTCACCCCCTTTGCCAAACGTGAAGTGTTCTTATTCAGCTCTAGATAATGAAGGAAAGCCTTCGGAATCATTTAGCGCTTCGTGTAGCAAATCTTCATCAAACAACCGTTGAAGATTCGGGTATTATACTTTCTATAGTGAGTGTGATAATTACTCTAGCAGTTCCCATCTGTTGAACAACTAATGTTGCATCAGTAGGTATGTCTACATGTATAAAATCGCTATAGCTACATACAGAGTTAATATCACCAATACGATGTGTTTTTGTTTTATTTAAGACAAGTAATTTGCTAGGAGTTTGAAGTACTCGTAGCGCCCCTGCACTTGTAAAACATTTTCCACTTAATGATATTCGGTAGAATCCAGTGGTTTCGATGGTGATTGTAGAAGAATCTTCACCTTTTTCACACATCGCGACATTGGTCCAATCTGAACCTCTTTTTCCAGTAACTGAAGTACCAACTTGAGTGTGCACATCTACTGGAATTTCTAGTCGCTTTTTATGTTTTTCACGTCTTCTATGATGTTTTACACGACGGGCGTGGTGGTTTTTTGCCGGACGTAGCAAAGCTTCGAGAACCTCACGCGTAGGTTTATTTACGTCTGAATAGTTCCAAGAAGATATGAATATTTTTTAGCATTAGAATTATATTCTAGTTGGAATTTTTCAAAATTTTCTCTCTATTTTGTCGTTAGTATACTTCTACTGCTCGGCGAAAGAGATCGTTTGTTGATTCAAATTCATGAACCGAAGTTTCAGCTGCGTTAG